TCTGTGATCTATTTTATTGTAAGAGATGATTCTGCTCCAATGTCCAGTTCTCCGGACCCCCTGTCTTTCAGAGACACCGGGCTCTCCCTTCCTGTTTTACTTCTCCATCAGCGGCTGAAATGCATTTTCCCCTCTCCTCACAAACGCCATTTTCTGGGGTGGCCAAGCCCACACCCCTGTTGCTTCCTAGGCCTGCTCTGTGGCTATAAAGGGAGAGAACACCCTGCTTGTGGGGGTTCTCCACGTCCAACCTCCAGCTGCAGCCGAGTGGCCGTGGGGCCTGCAGGAAAGAAGGCCGTGTACTCCCCACAGGTGACTCTTCCACCTCAGCTCAACCACAGCCACCTCCTGAGCCCATAAAGCTGAGGTTCTGGCCTCCCCAGTGACACACCCAGACTCTACAGACACCCAGTCAGGGGCGGCGGGCCTTATCCCAAAGCTGGGGCCACTCAATGAGGCTTCATCCTCTCCTGTTGCTTCTCCAGGTACCCAGAGAGTGAGCGTCTCCACGCAGGACAGTGCACGGCGGCTGACACCTGCAGGGACGCCCGCCGGACGAGCACGCGGAGGACCCTGGCCTCCACAGACGTGCCATGCCAGCGTGCGGAGCATCTGTTCCTCCCACTCTCTGCAGTTCACAAACCCAACCCAAACCACCACAGGTGCTCCTCGGGAGTTTCCTGTCTAACAAATGCTGGGCTCACTTCAGGGAGAATCACGCTTCTTTCTAAAGATGGATTCGCTGTTTAAAACAGAGCTCTGGGAGCCTTTTGGCAAATCTTGAAAGCTGCACGGTGCAGAGACATGGATGTGACTTCCCAAGCCTGGGGCATGGGCCTGGAGATGTACCCGGGCACCATGCAGCCTGCAGCCCCCAACACCACCTCCCCCGAGCTCAACCTGTCCCACCCGCTCCTGGGCGCTGCCGTGGTGAACGGGACAGGCGAGCTCTCAGAGCACCAGCAGTACGTGATCGGCCTGTTCCTCTCGTGCCTCTACACCATCTTCCTCTTCCCCATCGGCTTTGTGGGCAACATCCTGATCCTGGTGGTGAACATCAGCTTCCGGGAGAAGATGACCATCCCCGACCTGTACTTCATCAACCTGGCGGTGGCGGACCTCATCCTGGTGGCCGACTCCCTCATTGAGGTGTTCAACCTGCACGAGCAGTACTATGACATCGCCGTGCTGTGCACCTTCATGTCGCTGTTCCTGCAGGTCAACATGTACAGCAGCGTCTTCTTCCTCACCTGGATGAGCTTCGACCGCTACATCGCCCTGGCCAGGGCCATGCGCTGCAGCCTGTTCCGCACCAAGCACCACGCCCGGCTGAGCTGTGGCCTCATCTGGATGGCATCTGTGTCAGCCACGCTGGTGCCCTTCACCGCCGTGCACCTGCAGCACACCGACGAGGCCTGCTTCTGCTTCGCAGACGTCCGGGAGGTGCAGTGGCTCGAGGTCACGCTGGGCTTCATTGTGCCCTTCGCCATCATCGGCCTGTGCTACTCCCTCATTGTCCGGGTGCTGGTCAGGGCACACCGGCACCGCGGTCTGCGGCCCCGGCGGCAGAAGGCACTCCGCATGATCCTCGCGGTGGTGCTGGTCTTCTTCGTCTGCTGGCTGCCGGAGAACGTCTTCATCAGCGTGCACCTCCTGCAGCGGACGCAGCCCGGGGCCGCTCCCTGCAAGCAGTCTTTTCGCCATGCCCACCCGCTCACCGGCCACATTGTCAACCTCGCGGCCTTCTCCAACAGCTGCCTCAACCCCCTCATCTACAGCTTTCTCGGGGAGACCTTCAGGGAAAAGCTGAGGCTGTACATTGAGCAGAAAACAAACCTGCCGGCCCTGAACCGCTTCTGCCACGCCGCCCTGAAGGCCGTCATTCCAGACAGCACCGAGCAGTCGGACGTGAGGTTCAGCAGTGCCGTGTAGACGGCCTCGGCTGCACAGGCCCCGCCGGCGTGTGACTCGGGAGCTGCACGCACCTGGGTGGACACAAGGCACGGCCATGTCATGTCTCTAGACCGCTGTCAGACGTGGCTCCGGCTCCTCGGGGCCTCGCGAGAGTCACACTTGCCTGGTCACCCTGGGGCTGCTAAGGAAACCTCACGACTGGTCCTCCTTGACTCTGCACTCCTCACTCCTCACACAGAATTGCTACAATCCCAAAACGCTCGCCCCGCAGGGTCCAAAGGTCAGCGCTGACCAGCCTGTCGCCATGGTCCTCCCCATACACCCTGCCTGGCGCCATGGGAAACGCTTCCGACACCCTCGACCATGAACGTCACACGGAGAGGCCACTGCGGTGACGCAACTCAGTTACACGTACCCTAAAGCAAGTCTACCACTGTGGGGGAACTAACGCTGGAGACACAAGACGCTAGTGGGTCTCAGCTGGATGCTGCGGTGTGTCCTCTGCACCCACGGTCTGGAACACACGAGGTGTGAGCAAGCTGGCGCACCGCTGAGTTAAAGAGGAAAAGGAAAACACACGCTCTGATGCATGCCTGAGCACCCTCCATCTTCCAGGACGGCAGCAATGGCGCTGTGCGGCCTCGCCAGCCCTGCGAGGTCCTCGGCCCAGAGCAGCAGGAAGGGCCCTCCGTGGAACGCCCGGCCGGGGCAGCAGGAAGGGCCCTCCGCGGAGTGCCCAGCCCGTGGCAGCGGGAAGGTCCCACTGCTGTGCGTCTGCCGCCTGCTCTGAGGCGGTTCAGTCACTGCTTGTTGACATCGTCATGGCAATTGCACTCGTGGACTGGGACCGTGCGAGCTGCCATGTGGGCTAGTTGGGTGCCAGGACAATGAAATACTCCAGCACGTGTGGCTGACGAATTTGCTTCTACAGAAATAACAGCTGGGGACAACTGCGGTGATGATATAAAAACCTTCCCATAAAATGTAAGAAAAGCTGACGAGGCTGGCGATGTTCAGCCTTTGTCAATAAAACAGTCATGTGCAGATCCTTCCAGAGGCTCTGTCTTGGGGGTCTGCCAAGTGGGGTGAGATGTGGGGTGGGCATGAGGCTCTCGGGAGAATCCCTCCCCGCTCACAGAAAACACAGCCCTCCCCTGCCACCCCGAAAAGTCTCACAGGGCCAGCCTCTGAGTCCGGCCAGCCGGACCTACCCTGGCATTTCCAGGCTGTCCAAAATGCTGTGGGGGTACTTCCGTGTCATGCTCGGGCGCCATGACGAGCTTCCCGTGAATGTAGGAGGCAGGGCTCAGCCTTGTCCAGTAGCCTGTGCAACCTACAAAGCTGCCTTTCTAGCAGGCTCTCGGCCACGTGCAAGGCCCAAGCACTCTGCGGCACCCAGGCGGGAAGGTTCCTGCTCCTTCCAGCGCCGGGGCCGGATGCTGGCGTTGCTCCCCTCCTTCCCACCTCGCCCACCTGGCAGGAGCTGTCCCTGATGTTACCAAGGTGCACCTGCACCAGTGCCTGCGGCCCCCTCTTCACAGAAACCCATGCAGGGAGCCGGGATGCATGGGCGAAGGGAACGAGCCGCCTGCACTACCCCTTCACTTTTCTCGTGTTTGCGATTCTGTTCTGTCTAAAGCTGTGATACTGTTTTTTATTTGTGGTAACATAAAGTTTGATTTGCAAACATATGAAAGGAAAAGGCCAATTAAAGAAAACATCTGCAAAAGAGCAGGTGGTAAACGGATGCGGCACAACAAAGACTGAACGCAGCCACAGTGAACCCAGGAAACTCCCTCCCCTCCCGTCTGTGGGACACGAGGCTGTGTCGGTGGCTGTGCGCAGCCTGGGTCTCTCAGGTAGGTGGGGCCTGTATTCTCCATGACCCCAGCACCATGGTGCCGGGCTCCTCAGGAGAACAGTGCTTGGCCCAGACCGTGGCCTATAGGAGCAGCCTCTGTGCCCACTTCCATCAGGGTTGCTTTCCCCATAAATGCCCCGCCGGGAAGCCTGGGAACAAGGTGGCTCCCATGCACCAGCAGGTCTCATGGAAGTGGAGATTGCTGTGGGGTGGCCAACCCAGAAGCCAGGCTCACGCGTGGCACAGTCCTACAGAACACTGTGCGTGGCTTCGGCCACGACTCAGGCCTGGCGCACCCCCCCCGCCCCTCCAGAGCCTGCAAGTCGCCCCAGCTAAAGGGACACAGCCATCACACTGACAACCGTGCTCAGGAGCGCCTATACCCGTCGCACTGACAGCCGTGCTCGGGAGCTCCTTCCAGGCCCCAGGGACGGGGCTTGCCCTCCTCCCCAGGGATGCCCCCACTCAATGCTCAGGACAGCCAGGCAGCAGCCCCCAAAACCCCCCCACACCTGGGCGCTGTCTTTACAAGACGCATGCTTCAACAAAGCCCCTTTTGACTTCAGTGTTGCTGATGGGGAAAAACCATCCAAGTCCCAGAAAGCAGGTGGGGTGGACTCCTCATATCAGGCATTCCCCACACACAGTCCTGTTCACACAGCTTCCACAGGGCCAAGGGCAGACGCTTTAAAATACGCACACTAGAGACCCGGCATTTCTGACCTCCAGCTCTGACGAGCTGATGTGGGGAGACCTACACGGAACGTGCTCTGGTCCCTGCCCCTCACAGCAGCCCCGCAGGATGGGCACTGTCCCTGCCATGCCAAGGAGGCGCTAGAAGGGTCAGTCACTGCTCAAAGCCTTAAATGGTGGGTGACACAGCTGGGAATTCAGCCACGCTCCCCTGGCTCGAAGCCCACGGTCCTGCCCCCTCTGTAGCACTCGGCAACCCCTGGCGTCTAACTGGCAAAACCATGCCATGAAGAAATCATACAGAGCTGGGGGCCATGGGCATTGAGGGGTCACCCAAGGTCACCAGCCCATCCTCCTCTAAAGCCCGCTGTGCAGGAAGTGCAGGGATGGCAGCTAGGAGGGCTCCCCTAAGGCAATCTGGGAGGGAACTGCATCTGAACAGAGCCCCAGGCATATATTAGGGACGGGACTCAACTCTTTCCTCCACGTCAACCCACCACAGGGGACAGTGCTGACTCTGTGGCATCCTTCCCTCCCTGCCGCAGACACAGCAGGGACCCTGCTCCTTCCTGCCCTCACCAGACACCGCTGTGAGTGCGTGGAAGCGTCAGGCCGCCCTGCTACGCCACTCCTCTCCACCAGGTCTCTTCTGGGGACTTGTCCAAGGCTCTGGGTGGACAGAGCTGACACGCTGTCATCTAGCTGCCAGAAGCAGACTCTCAACCTGTGAAGCTGGCGGCGGCACTGCTCTGGGGACAGTCACAGGCGTGACAGGCACCCAGAAGCCAAGCCACGGGGCTGTGGTAAGGGCAGGTCCAACACTGAGGTCCCCACACAGTAGAGCCAGCCTTGGACCCTGGGCCCTGCAGTCCCTAACCTTGATAACCCAGAGCTGAGAGCTGTAGGACAGAGACCCACAGGCCGGGCAGGGACTCAGTGGGTGCCTCTGGCCCAGCCACACACGCCCTTCTCCAGCGCTTGCCTGGGAGCCAGGGCAAATGTAATTATTTTTGGCAGGCGAATGGTGAGATAAAATCAAGGCGTCTTAACTGCTCCGTTGTTTCCTGGTAACCCAACTCTCTTATACATAAGTGCTTTTTAAACTCCATAAAGAGCTCAAAAGTACGTAGCTGCAAGCATAGGAAAAACCCCCGCGTTAGCATTGAACATGACCTCATCGTTCTCTGTGCCTAACAATTGACTCTTGACCTCACGAGAGCGACAGGGCCTACCCGCCCTTCCCAGGCCCTGCACCTCCCACTGAGTGAGAAGCGGCAGCAGTGGGCTCACTAATGCTCCTGCGCCCATTACCTGAAGTCTTGGGGGGGCGGAGCCGGGGAGAGAACGACAAAGAAACCTTCTTCAGAGGGTGTTTCTGTGGCGGGGTGGGAAGCCGTTCCTAAGCCATCCTAGACGCCCCGCAAACTGGGCAATGAGGCAATGTGAGGAGGCTCCTGAAGCTGGGGCTCTCCCGGCAGAGGCGGGAGACAGAGCAGGCGAGAGGAGTCCATGGGAATAGGCCAGGGCTGAGGACAAGGCTTAACCTAGACATTTAAAGTAAGAAGCAGCACACAGACTATGCAAGTACACGCACACGTCTGTGTGTGCACATCCTGAGCGTGCTTGTGAGTACGTGTCTACAGTGTGTACATGTGTCTGAACACACACAGACACACGCTCACATGTTCCAAGCTCCATCTCTGCAGCCCTCCTGCACCAGGCCTGGCCCCAAACACTGCCACCCTCCAGAAGGGCCCAGGGCTTCAGGAGAAATGGCTGATTTGGGCCAGGGCAGGGAGAGACAAGATGAGCCTGAGACAGGTCATTCTGACGGAGGCAAGAAAGGATCCAAGAGCACGTCAGGTGACACCCAAAGGACACAGGATGTCCTCACCAAAGCTGGGACAGCGTGAGCAGTATGATGAGTAAGAAGAGACAACTGTGATAGGCCATGAAAAACAGGAGTCCGCAAGTCCACTCCAACAATGAACAGACCTAATATAATTTAAATAAAATGAATGAATCCATGAATAGAAAGAGTCTCACTTCTAATAAAGCGCTGGCTGGTAAAGTGGTTGGAAAAGCATCACTCTGCGGCTTAGAGAGGGAGACGGGGGCAGGTAAGAGCCACAAATGGAGGGCAAATCTCGGGGGACGGTGAGGTGCAGGGGACTGCAGAGCCTACCTGTCCCCCATGGACGGCTCATTAGTGCTTGGGGAAAGGTCACCACATAGCACAGACGGGACAGCCCCTCGCTGGGTGATCACATGGGCAGCGCCAACAAGGAGGCCGGTCCAGATGCAACACCCTGAGAAGGGTGCATCTCGTGCTGTAATCTAGGAACGCACAGCCTGAGTCTAATCGGGAGGGAATGTGAGATAAACAGGAAATGAGGATGGGGAACCAGCATGCATCAAAAATGCCCATGTGATAAAAGACAAAGGCAAAGCAACCGTCCCAAACTCAGAAAGAGGGAAGGAGATGTAACAGTTCAACGCAATACGGATCCTAGACAGGGTGCCCTACCAGAAGGAAAAATGTGTCGTGAAGGATTTTACAGGGTCAGTCGACAAGAGTGGAATACCCTGGGAGATAAAAGTGCTGCCTCAATGACCAATTTCCCGAGACTGGCAACCATGCTTCTTAGGAAGCCCACATTGGAGTGTGTGGAGGGAAGAGATAGGACTGCGCGAGTCACCCCCAAGAGTCTCCATGGGGGCAGGACGCACACAACAGGTGGGGTGGGTGCACAGCAAACGCACACAACAAACGTTACCCA